ATTTGGGGTAGCTTCTGCCTTCAGGACTCATCTATCAATTTGGGTGCTACGTCTAGATTTCTTTAATGTATGATCACTACATAAATACATACACCCAAATAATGAACAAGTTATATGGATTTCTGCATCAAGCTGAGCTACCAATGTGTTGCTTTTTGGAGTCACTGATAGGAATTCAGCGAAAGCCTGAATGCAGCTGTTAAGCTGGTGGCCTCAGAATTTCTTACTGATGTTGGTACTTCATTAAGAAATATACGCTGCACATATGAAAAAAAATGGCTTTTTCCTTTTCTAAGTAGACTTAACTTTATATGTGCTCTGGGCTTGGCCTTATGCTCTTTTGGCACAAAACTATAACTACTGTTGCTAGCACTTACTCAGTCGCAGTGTGTTTAATTATCATCCCTGTTTATGTATAATATTAATTCTGTCAGTAAAGGTAATCAGATATGCCAAATAATTTGTGATTAAGAAGTGAATGGTCTTATGCTTGACCATTCTTATGCATTTGGTCTGATGCTGAAAAATACTCATGACTAGAAATGCCTCAACTAAGTCTTGTTTTACCAAAGAGAAAATGGCTGAAGGTGTTTGCCTATTTAGACTCATAATGTTCTAGGTAGAGTACTCAGATTTAGATGCTATTGCAACTAAGGAAGCATGAATACCAATTTACTGACAAAAAAAGCTTAGTTTATTAAAGCAAACATAATCTTGAGCTGTTTGAGCAGTGGACACTTTACATCAGTAAAATAATTGGGAGAAATGTTTATTATTCACATTTAAAGAAACAAGTTAAAAGCTGGCTAATTTGCTTCATATACTTTTTTATAATGTAATGGTTTAAAGAGTTAAGAATATTAAGATGTAAGGCAATATAAATTATGCTAATCCTATGTGGGTCAGTTTTCAATAAATAGAACTAATTTAATCATTTTTCTCTAAATTGCATGAAAATGAAAGCAGAGACAGCTCAGTACTTCTCAATAACATAGTTCAAACCATAATTTACAATTCCAAAAGTGAGCGCCTGGGCCTAGATTGTTTCTAGCTCCATGAGCTCAGGCAAGAACTAAAGACAGCTTTTTCTGTGGAGAGCACCTGTTGTTCCTGCTGTTGCTCTTGCTAAATTTTAGCCAATGACAGCAGCAGCAGCCGTAATGACTTTCCACAGCTTTTGCACAGCTAGTAGTGGTGCTATGGATATGCTGCTGCTCCTGCCTATGTATGGCCTTAGAAAACTGGCTTGTTTCTGTGGGGAAAGCAGTCCTCTAAAGAAGTTTTTGTGCTCTAGTTCCAAACTGAACTTATTTGCTACAAATGCACGTGGCAGTGATGGATAATGCAGATGATACAGCAGCTTCCAGCTATGTGCTATAGCATCTGATACTAGAAGAGGAGGTATGAAACCTGTCTTTTCCTCAGTAGAAGCATAAACCATAGAAGCTTTTTCTTTTCACTGCAAAGCCATCTTTTCACTGCAAATGAGTCATTCTTACTGTTCTGGAGTCTTTAGGTTTGGCATCATCAATGTCTGAGATGGATGTGTTTTGTGTAAAAAGGAAACTAATTGGGTTCAGGTGCTACAAACATGATTGAAAATGAAATTTTCTTCGTTCAATCTACTAAGGCTGGATTTATAGCTGGCACCTTTCCTGTAAAACTCAATTTGTTACAATTTTTAATATTGATTTGATGCTGCAAGTGGATATACTAGATGTAATTAAGTGTAATGAGGATTTAATACATCCAGAATATCTTCAAAGGAAGCAAGTGAATATTACTCACATTTCAATCCATTCGACAAATTGCTAAGGGGAATCTCCAGTAATTGGAGAAAGTAGGGGGAATTTTTGAGGATAAAAGGATTAAAATGTCAAACACCTGTGACCATATCTTTAGCTGACAGAAATGACATAACTTTGTTTTGGTTTGTTGTTTTTTTTTCCAGCATCATATCTTCATTAATTGTATGACTCAATTATCCTGGAACCTTACATTTGCAATTACTATAATATTATAACTGCTTCTTTTTAAGGATTTGTAAAATAGATCTGCATATCAGTAACATTACCTACTTCACTTTTGAAATTAGTTTCAAAATAGTTAAAGCTACCTTATATTTCAGGAAAGTGATTATACCTACTTCTGATATTACATTATATTACATAGTATTGTACATCAGGATGTGGCCATCTTATTGCTGTATTACTTGTTATTTTAATATGCAGATGAATGGTTGTTCACTCTAATTCTGATTTCAGAGCTGCTTTATCCTTGTAAAAAAGAAGATCTGACCTATAAGGTGTTAAGTGTTTGACACCTTTTATTTGTATAGGATATTAATACATGGTTCAACATCAGGCTGACTCTGCAGTTAAGGGAATCTTTAAAATAAAGTTCAGAACTAGGTGTATAACATACTTTAAAATTTAAAATTTAAACCAAAAAACTACTTTATTTTTTTTTCCTTCAAATTATGATATTTCCAGTGGCCACCCTTCATATTGCCACTCGACAAGAGGACCTAAATGGTTCCACAGATTTTAGACTCCCTAGTGATACAAACAGGAATGCTATTTAACAGACTTTAAAATCAACTCATAATGTAAGCAGACATATTACTGAATGGCTTATATGAAAAATGTACTATATATAATAACAGAATTTCATAGCAAAAGTGCTGGAGCTCCCTTATGAATGTTACAAATGCTTCCTTGTATCAGAACAAAGATGTTTGTATATGGTAATTTAAAAGTTATTTATTTTGGAGGTTCAAACACTCAAAAAACTATTAAAACTAGAATTATGTTTTTAAATGTGATTTTAATTCTGCCTTCTTACATGCGGGAATTGACATATATTTATGTCAAGGAGCTGCAGTTTCATTCTCAGCCTTTATTTGTCAAATACTTCTTTGCAGTCCAGAAAGAAATTTTCATATAGGCTAAATTTCATTTGTATAGAGATATTCTGAATCCCAGTTCAGCTTATCATATAAGATATAGCAAGGCCAGTGAACCCATAGAATGCCAAAGAAGTGTCAGGAAAAATAATAGAAAAAATGTATTGCAAAATAATAAAGGGAATGTAAAAAATGTTTGTTACTTTCAACTAAGCTTCTAAAGAATTTTGAGAAGACCATCAAAAGGCAATTCTGAAAAGCAAAATTAATTCCAAATTTTCATTCCTCTTTGTGAAAAGCAGCAGAACTCTTGAAAGGTTAGAAAAAAAGTTTTATAAAAATACCTGTTCATTCCCAAACTCAGCTAAGAAAAACAACACATGTCATTTTTCCTTAACATTTCTTACCAGAAATACCATGAGAAGCAAGAACACTGCATTAGTAAATATCTGTAAATACATCAGGATAATTTATGAGGGAGGAAGCTGTAATACATCATGGGAGATGCAGTCCAGGTTATGAGTCCAGTTCACTAAGAATAATGAAAATATGCAGAACTCCAATCCCATGTCCCAGTAGGCATCCACACAGCTATGGAAGATGGAGACAGAGGCTAATATTTCTCATCAACTTGTTAATACAAAATGCTCTATTGATACCTGCTATCTTATAAAAAAATAATTATTTAGTTTTCCAGGTGGAATTTGAAAAGTGGAAAGTAAAATTTCCATTAAATCATGTGCAGTCTTTATGCTAGTTTCAAATTCATATTATGTTAAAATTAGACAAAAGACTTATCTGTAACTTATCATACTGTAAGATCAGAACCAGCTACTGCATTTTACCATAGATAATATGCCTCTGTACAAATGCATGTAGGCACATACACATATATTTAATCTCTTAATGAATTCAAATTCTTATGGTCTTGTCCCATTAATACCTGTGTTATAATGCAGGTCAATTGTTATTATGTCAATATTTAAACATCTTTTCAATTCACTATTTCTTTAATTTTAAAATACAGTTTGAAACTATGGGACACTAGTTATTATAAAGTTATGCATTAAAATGATTTGTTTAATATACATGTTTATTAAATTTAAGTTTCTAGGATCTTTAAGGGACAAAATTGTGAGGAATGGATTTTTTTCATTATGTTACTTAGCGTTTTATTTACTAACAGAAACATCTTAGGTTTTGCTGAGAAAAGAAAGAGAAATTATAATATCCTATCAGTTATGCACCTGTATACAATCTACAAACATACTGATAGAAGCTTATAAAATTATCTGAATATTTACTAAGATAAGTTAATATCAGTGAGATAAATTCCAAAAGGACTCTGTTCTGTTCATTGAAGCCTGTTCTGGAATCATGCAAGTTACATTAGTAAACCTATATTGCATCAGAAAAAGCACTGCTTTATGGGTTTGTTTAATTAAAATGGAAAGCAAAACACACAAAAAAAGAGGCAGGATAACTTTATATCAGATGAAAGAATTTCAGGGATCCTTTTACTACTTTGACAAACCCAGATTAAATTTAATATTAAAAGAAATGTGCTGCAATATGATTGTTATTATTAACCCTGTAATAATTCTGGGAATCTGCTATTAATGAATATTTAATTAAAACCTTAATGCTCAACTTAACTGACATCGTCTCTCTCTGCAAAGTTGTAACACGAAGCCTGCAGCTCACAGAGAGTATTTTCTGTAAAAACACAAAGTAAGGATAGGATATTCCAAAAATAGCGACTAGTCCAATGCTGCATGTCCATCAAGGAGGAGAACAGTTTATAAGAAGTCTTCTCTCATAAATTCATTTGCTAGCTATAGTAGCTATAATAATGAAAAGCTCTGCTTTGGTTAAGAGTTGAGAGCTACATCATCTCTAAAAGGAAATACACTTGTTCTTTATGGAGGTGAGACCTGAGAGCAAGGTTTTTGTTGCAGAACAAAAAGAATTTGTATTTTTTCTTAACTGGACTATTCATCCACAAAAGAGCACTACTTAGACAAAGAAGTAACCATAGAGAACAGATAGTGTATTTGTAAGGAAACCGCAATTAAAATATATTGTTGCATCCTACCTTGTACACAATGATAGGGATATCAATTACAATATAGATAAGGTCTCCTAGTGCCAAACTGGCTATCAGTGCATTCGGGCCATTCCTCATACACTTGTTCTGGTAAATGATCCTCAGGAGAGTTGCATTCCCAACCATTCCAACGATGAAAATAGCACAAGATACCACCGTGTTAATGTATTTAAAAGTTTCGGCAATCTTGGTCTGCTGGGAGCATTTGACAGTTTGGTTGGACAACAGGGGCTGTCTGGTGGTCAGGAGTATGCTGGATTCCATCCCGGAGAAAGTGGAGAGGTGGTTTCCCAAGTCACTCCAATTGGTAGCGTATCTGTCAAAGCTGTCACTGAGGACAAGTCCTGGAACCAGCAGCAGCAAGGAAACTCTTAAACACAAGGCCTCCATTCTGCAGTCCCAAAAGAGCAAAGTCACAGAAATAGGGTTTTTTCAGTATTTCAGTGAGGTACTTCCCACTTCTTCACCTGCAGAGAGAAACAGGAAGAAAGAAAAAATAAAAAGAAGAAACAAAATCAGTACAACAGGGATAGACCTAACACATCTCGTTTCTCAATTAGGAAAGGTATTTGAATGTACAGTTTCTACAATACATATGGATGTACACCTCTTTATGATCACTGTACTGCTCTAAAATCCAAGTAATTGATAGCTTCTACAAATGTTATCCTGGAAATCCCTTTTAGTTTTGACAGAATTTGTAGATGAATGGAAAAAATGTGGTGAAGTTCTGTTTTAAAATACAGTCTTGCAGGAAAAGTATACCAGCAAAGGGAGGCCTTGGAGACTGCTGAATGATATCTCAGATAAAATTAAGTTGTTCTTTTTTCTTTGAAAAAGAAAGGTAACAGCACTGCATTAATAATAGAAGGTACTAAATTTGTTGATTTTCTGAGTATTTTTTATTTATTGCCACAATTAGGCTTTATATTATTTTTCTCTAACTTTATAATTACCTGCATTTCAAATGAATATGTACTTCAAATAAAATTTTGGACCAGATCCAAAGTCCCTAAATGTTAGGAGAAAAAGTCTTGCCACCTCAGGGTAGACCTCTGGCCAACAAAAGCTCTTCAAACTTTGTGTCTCTTTATTGTAATAAGTCTTTAGTTCCTGGATCTTATTAACTCATGTTCAGTAATTAGCCACAACAAAATTAATTATAAAAGTTAAGCTCTTTTAAAGAAAAGAAAATACTTGGTTTAGTATTGTAAGCAGTAACTCATGACATTTCCAGATTTGAAAGGAAGCATCATAGTATTCTGTCCCAGTAAGTATGACTGCCTTGGTGTTATCACCTGAGCTGATTCACTGCCACAGTGGGTAGATACCACACCTCCAGTGAAACCAAGGAGGCCACTCTAAAGTCCAGTTCCTTGAAGCCTCAGTCTAATTTAGGATAAAGATTTTTTTACATGGCTCATATCTGTAAAACAAGGGAAAGTGCTGCTGCAAAGTGTTGCCAAAAACAGAGCAGAAAGGCAAGTATTTATAACTTTCTGATTTCTAGGGACTCACATAAAGGATTTGAGAGGATACTTTTAAATAAACGAGTCCTAGTTTCATTCCCTATGGGGCTATTAAGTCAGAATTTACAGCAAGAAATTTACCAGAGGAAGAATGTGGAAGACAGTTTACTGACTTCTGAACACAGCCACAGTATAAATATTTACTATTATTATTCTCTTCTGTTGTGTGCGGTCTGTAAAAGTGTGTGTGTACCTCTATACTTCAGTAAATGAAATGTTAACTGAGTATTCCTGTCTGACATGTAGAGTGCTGTCCCTCACAGACCAGGGATCCACATTCACAGTCTTTTATATTGATGTGTCTGAGATGAGGATCTTACCAACTGTGAGTTCCTGTGCACTTGATTTTAAAGTTTAGTATACTAGATAGCAAGTCCTTCTTTATTAAATGGCAGTTACAATGGTATCTGAGGGCAGCTAGCAACAGTTTGTATGATGTACATGCCTTCACTTTAGGTTTCTAAATCATATGAGAAACAACAGACATAGCTGACTGTAACTCTTTTCAGGCAAGTATTAATACTTTTATTCTTTACTCTGATTATCGTTCCCAATTTACAAATGGAAAAATGGAATCACTAATTATTTCAGTGACTTTCCCAAGTTCATACTTGCCTAAGTAAATGTGATACAGCTATGAACAGAACCCACAGCCCTATGCTTTAATGGTTATATTTGTATCCTCATTTAATGATGTTTTCTTGTGAAAATGTGAGGTATATATATCTCATATGCACATGGTGGTAGCATGGCAATCATGCAGCCACCATGCAAAGCTCGGAACAACATTACCAATTACTATCTCTCCCACAGAAGAAACTTTTCCATAGGAAGCAAAACTAGAAATCTTTTAATATAGTTATTTCTAAGGGTATTTTCTTATGGATTCCTGACAGTCTTTCTTTCCTCTGTGCATACTTTCAAAGGATCTATATTGTTACGGAATATAACAGGCAAACTGCCTCCCATAAGTAACATACTAGCATCCATAATAACAAAATCTAATATTCTTCTTCACACATAATCAGAATACATGGAGTGTGTGAGGTTGTTGTATAAATCTGGAGGCCACATGCATGTGCTGTGCCTGTGCTCATACAGCACTGCAGAAGTAGCCACAGATGCAGAGAACAACACTCCTAACATGCCTGGGGTATCAAGCCAGAAAAATTCCCATGCCGAGATTCACAAGAAAAGACCCTACTATTGAAAACGAAATTGTTCAAAGCATTAAAGACGAGCTAAAACGTTAACGGGGGTAATCTGCCCAAAAAAGCAGCTGAGATGTAAACAGGAGCTAATAACCGGAGCACAAAAGCACTGATAGAAATACCGTCGCAAAATGAATTTCCCTTGGTTGTTTCCCACTCCAGCACAGACAGTGAGAGCTTTGCCTTATATTTCTTCCTCTAACACAAAAGAAAACATTCTCTGCTTGTAACACTACCGAAAGATCAATTCTAACATGCACTTGGGAAATCAATACTACCTCCCCTGCAGCCTATATAGACCATCAGACAAGATCTATATATTGTTAAACTTTATTTAATAAGAGTTATCCCAAGCTCCCTTCTGCCTGCCTCTTGCTCTCTCTCTCACTCTCACACACACACACACACACGCACGCACATGCACAAACACACGCACACAGAGCTGCGCCACCGCCACCTCGTTATTATCTGGAAGGCTATCGGGAAGTGCTGGAAGTGTCCCGCGGCTCTCGGCCGGGCTCTCCCCGGGAGCGGGCAGCGGCTGCGCCGGCAGCGGAACGCACACTCACCCGCGGCGCGCCTCCTCCGCCGTGCTCACCACCCCGCTCATGCTGCTGCTGCTGAGAATTTCCTCTGAGTGGCTTTTCCTGGGATGGTCTTACCAGATCCTCCTGCCTGCGTCTGACTGGGTGGGATTGAAAATCTCCACCTCCGCTAAATCAGTGAAAGAAAGAGACAGACTGAAGTCCGAGCGTCCCCTCTTTTCTGCCCCCTCCCCCAATTAAAACAAACGTCCAGCCCAAACCGAGCCCCTGCCAATGTTAAACAAAAAGGCTGCCTCCCAGGCACAGGGGAACACTGAGTGAGGTCTTTAACTATTTCCTCGCTGAAAAGGAGCTGAACTACTTTCCTGGACTCCAGCAACAGCTTTGGGAGTCCACTACGGTAGCACCCTCCTAATTAGCACACGAATGTTCTCAGACAGGCTGTTGGTCTGGTTGAGACTGACGACATAGAAGGCATGAGCAGAGCAGGAGGGGGGGAATCTCATTATGAAATACGCAGGTTTTGCTTTGAATTTTCCCCAGGTTTGTCCAGGATTATAATATATTTCCAAGACAATCAGTAAAACTGGATGTGTAAGAGTTTCAGAAATTCTGGATCCATAAAGAGTGACTACTCCTGAGTGAAATTTTCTGTGATCCATCCAGAACACACCTTGTTAATACTTTTTAGTTTTCAAGGCCAAAAATGCATTTACAAAGATAATAAGTGTAGCATTTTCTGACAGTCCTGTGTCTCCTATTACTGTTCTGTCAATGTTGTGGTACAAAAAAACTTGTGCAGAAAAAGTGAGAAGTTCTCTTATAGCTAATAATCTTCTCTCATTATGAAAAATTACCAGTTTTTCAAAGGGAGCAGCTTGTAGTGGAAACAGTTTCAAAATCTCTTCATGCTAACAAGTTCAAGAAATTTTAAGTTCCTTGTTGAAATATTTCAGGATCCTTGTTGCATGGCAAGTTTCTGTCTGCCTCTACCACAGCAATAATTTTATAAACATATATGAGCTTCTTTTGAATACAAAAAAGCAGTCTTCCTAAATATGATATGAAAATACATGGTCTTAAAAGAATAAGAACTGAATGGAGAGAACAATAGAAAATGTGATGGTTGTGGCCTGCAGAATTAAAATACCTGGCACTAAATAATGTAAAAAATTGTTTTGTACATTATGAGTTTTGCATAGTTAAAGTAATGTTTTACTAGACATTCTTTTAAATCATCTAATAAACCTTCAACAGGAAAAAAACAGCATCTGTATCAACTGAAATAGCAATACTTCATTTCTTCTAGAAAGTTGTCTCAAATGATGCATCAAAACACAAGATCTTTGAAGAAGCACAGGTGTTCAGGCTGAGAATCATAAGAAGCCTACTGTTTGAAAAACAGGTAGAGGAATTTAATTCAAAATCTCAAGTTTCCCTGAAGTTGAATAAATGCTGATAAGCCACTAAATTCTCCACATATTAATAAAGGTTATTTGAAACTCTCTACAGTTTGGTCATAGGTGTGGAGTATTTATGGTTTGCTTTGTCAGGAATCGTCTGTATGATAACTTGTTGGAAAAAACTAGTGAAGGGCTAGAAAAGGTGTACTTAAAGATCACACACACTTTATGGAGTGCTTTATCAAATTCAATCTTAAATCTCTTATATGTTCTCTAAACATTCTTATAAACCTGGTCCTTTCCTAAGATCATTCAACTTCTATGTCTAAACAGCTAGAGATTTATATTTCTGATCTCATTCAAACACACATTTTTCCTTTCAACTCATAATTCCATTAATTTGGAAGGTTTATGTCATGTATTCAGACACTGCCATGCATAACTATATTTACTACTAAATGAAATAATCACATTTAGTAGTGCTGTTAAAGATCTATTTCAAAATATGAAAAACGAGAGCTCCTTATTACCATTGTGAATGCTTCTATTATTGCCAACCCACATAAGTAGTAGTTTTGTTAGAAATTACTGAATTCACAGAATCACAGAATATTTGGAGTTGGAAGGGACCTTGAAAGATCATCCAGTCCAACCCCCCTGCCAGAGCAGGATCACCCAGACAAGGTCACACAGGAACACGTCCAGGCGGATTTTGAATGTCTCCAGAGATGGAGACTCCACAACCTCTCTGGGCAGCCTGTTCCAGTGCTCTGTCACTCT